CCCCCATTTTTACAAAAAAAAGCGATTTTTAAAAAACTTGAGATCTCCAGTGAATACTAGAAAGGGGCTGCTCTTCTAGCATCCAGCCTGGGTTTTTGGGGGTTTTTGTAACAAGTAGTCAGTTCCTTTCCAGTTACCATTAGAATTCATTAAGATTCAAAAAATTTCTTCAGGATTACACTGGTAGGGTACTAACTAAAAGGAAATTAAAATTTTTAAAAAATTTTTTAAATCTAGAGGTTTATTATCAAATTAAATTAAACACAGCAAACAAAATAAAAACAAATCCCCCGAGTTCAATATTATTGTGCGAAAGCACATATCACATTTATAATTCTTAAGTACCCTTTTGGTAAATTTAAAATTTAATAAGAATTACAAATAAGTCAAGTAAATGGTGTAAAGCTGTAATGGGGGGGGGTTTTTAAGTAGTTAGCTATGTCTCAAGAATCGAAAAAAGACTTTAAAAAAAAGTGAGACAAAGTCCCCCCCCCCCAAAAAAAAACAACTTCTTGACCGACGGCAACCTGAACGTCTGCTTGAACAACAAAAAGGGTGCAACCCCCCTAGCAATGCAATATCAAGCGGGGCTGGACACCCGAATCCAACGGAACTGGGAAAAAATAAAACGACCTAAATAGGGACCATCAGCAGATCCTCCACAAAAAATTACAAAACTCCCATACTACTTAAACTATGTTCAGCATAGGAAAAATGCGAAATGTGACAATACACCCGAAAACCCTAAAAATTAGGTCAAAAAGCCAAAGCTAAAAGGGCCCCGAGATGTTCAGATGTCTAAGCGACAAAAAACCTCAGTACAAAAGTCGGAAAAACACTAAGTCTATACAAAGTTTGAGAACAGAGTTTACAAAAACCCAACAAAAAAAATTTAGACAGACAATCTGTCCAAACCCCCAAGCGAGTCTCGAGGGAGACTGGGGCTACTTCACGGGGAGGTGAGGACACCCCCCCCCCCTCGATCACGTTATAGGCCCCCCCGGGCAGCGCAAAATCGAAGCCGGGAGTATAAAAGAAGGGGACAAGCGATAATTACCCGTAAATTTGACAATCAAAACCCAACAGGCACAATTTTTTTAAAAACATCCTAAAAAATAGTAATATGTAAAAATTTCCCAAAAAACATAAGCTACGTCAAAAAACAATAAAAAGGCAATACCCTTTTCGATTTAAACATTATCGCAAAATAAGCAATATAAAAAATTTAAAAGAAAAAAGGGAATATTTCAAATTCATATTTTACATAAATTAAATTTATTGTAAACCCCCCTTTAGGGGTTGCAAAATTCCTTTTACATATTTTTCAGCTGCTTTTTGGTCGAAAACCCCCGGGGGGAAAACCCCCCCCATGCCTAATCACCTAGTATGCCCCAAAGATTCTTAAATCTTTCAAACCAACCCCTTTTCTGGCCTTAAATTTTACTTTCACATTTACCACTAGTTTTCAGGGGAATTTCTTAAAAAATCGTCATGCAACTGCCTAGGGCCCTTTTTCCAAAAGATTGCTTGAGAGATACTATCTCCTGCATATGTTTTTTCATTTATCCACACCAATAAAAGTCTTCAACATTTTCTAACACTTTTTTCGGTCGCCCCTTGGGGGGGGGGTTTTTGTAATCCCCAGTTTCACCTTTTTTCAACAACAGCTTTCCCTTTATTTCTGTTTCCTGGTCACTATAGTAGAGATGGTTAATTGGGGTTTTGTACCAATTGGGCCCGCTTGACCCCAGGGGCCCCTCCACTTTTGTACCTTACAAAATTTTCCTTTCTTCAATTTTAATATCATTAGCAACCCCTGGGCTCGAAGGGTTGGCCAAAAAAGCTTTTTTGGGGCCCATGGTGAATTTTTTTGCAGAAATAAGCACCAAAAAAAAAACTGTGAAATATGGAATGTACCGAAAAAATTTTCCTTAGATTTCGAGCATGCTGGCTGGCTTGTAAACACTGGGACACACGGGGCAGTTTCCCGCCACACGGGGACCATCTCACACAAATCGTTTTATACCCGGCTTTGTTTAAAGGAACCAAGGCCAAAATTTTTTTCTATATAATGCATCCGTACCGGATTTATTTGGGTAAACCGGATAGCATCGCGAACCAGGGGTCCACTGTATAATGTATGCCCCTTATCAAGATAAGGTGCCATCATGCTTCTCTCTACGTCACCTGAGATACCCAATAACATCTTGGTATCTTTCAATGTTTTACATCCCGTGTATATAACAATATCCAATACCAGGCCACTGTCACAGTCACAGAGCACAAACAGTTTTATACCAAAGCGTTTCCTCTTGCTCGGTATATACTGCTTGAATCACAGCCTACCTTTGAACAAAATCAAGACTCGTCAATTACAAGATTCTTGATAAAAGTACATGCTGAACTTATGTTTGAGATACATAAAAACATTTCTAATCTTGTATAACCTGTCACTTCTGCCAGGCCTGGTTTTGTCAGAGAAGTGCAACATATGTAACAGTAAGATACCTGTTCACTGGGATGATTTCACTGAAGACCGGGGTAGAAATTAGCCGATCTGCGGACCAGTATGCTTTTATGTTATGCTTGCAGACATGAGGCATAAGCATTATTGTTGCAAAAAGCAAATACATTTCTGCAACAGTCATCTCTTTCCACTGGTGTAGTCTTGACTGTGGTGATATGATTGTATTTGCCATGGTGTACTCAAAATACTTGTTACTTTCCCTGACAATTATTTCCATCAAGGACTGGTCAAATAATATTTCAAAAAACTCCAGTTCATTGGATGTGGTTCCAAGGGGACAAGTAGGTAGAATTCCACTTTGAGAGTCATCGAAGTGGTGGGGCTTGGGAACAAAATTGGGATTTTGCTGCCAATCCCAGATACGGTTTGCTGGTGGATACTGGACATCATAGGCTGGTTGTGCGGGTGGTTGCGGTTGTGGTGGGCTGGTGGATGATGCTCTGCTTTGTCCTTGAACTGCGGAATCAGCAGCGTGGGTCCCAGCCTGGGCTGGTGAATCACGCATGGCCATGGCACTACCATCACCACTACCACCATCTACTGATGCCTGTGGTCTATCCATGCCAAGTGTAGCCACATGATCCTCACTTTCACTGTCTATTCCTGGTGTAGGGCCACGGGATGTACTCCGGGATGTACTCCATCCCCTGGGCACGGCATAGGGTACACTACCCGAGCGCATGCTGCGGCGTACATACCAATGCTTCACTGGTGAATATATTTCCTCACTATCACTACTCGAATGATCGTCAAGAGCAATAAAATCACAATCCACGTCACTATCATCATCATTACTGAAGTCAGAGGCCTCTCCACGCGAAAATAATAGTTTTCTCTTGCGTTGAGGTACAACTGACAGTGACTGAGGAGTGCCCACACCAGAGGTAGAAGGTTGAGGATCGTCAGGGTTTTCTGCACTATTATCGATGTCCTGGTCATTCCTTTCGGTCACTAACTGATCAAAGCCAAAGAATTCGTCTTCATTTCCACTTCCATCAGTGTCAGAACTATCAGATAGGAAGAGGAGAGTCCCAATTTTCCTTGGAGTGAGAGCTGCCTTGCGACGAGGCATGGTGAACAAGAGTAACTGAGCCGGTTTTCCCACAATGCTATGTGGGCGCCTAGATTTTTTGTTTATGGCGCACACCCACCATGCAGACCCGTTCTCTCACATGTAGGCCTATGAGTGTTTTTGCGCCAAATTTGACAGCGCTAGAATTTTAGCATAGATCTACAGTTTGGACACTCATCGTGAAGCCGTAGATCTACGGGACGGACCCTGAAAGGGTTAAGTAAGTACAGTTATCAGTAGTATCTTAGTACTATGTCAGCCATAGACATACCTTGCTAACTGAGTTTAAGCATTTCTAACCTTCGCCTTACATCTTTTTATCATAACTATCCTTAGATGTCATTTCAACACAAAAAGGGTATATATAAAATATGCAATAGCTTCAAGACACTTGAAACTTTGGAAAATTTCAGACATAATCAGGAGCTCACAGAGGATGTAAACAGAGTAGATAGGTGGCATGCAGATGCCATTCAAGGGCATCATGGAAGAAAGGAAGAGGGGCTCAAGTTCACCAAGAATTCCATCAGTTTTCCCAAAGCCCCACAAATAAAAATGTTAATAATTACACTACTTCAGGACAAGTCCCGCAGCCCCTTCCAACCAGATTGCCACCCCTAAGCCCCTTCTGTATAAAGTTTCTTGAACTGTCCCTCACACCCTCCCTTCAGTCCTTTCTAAGATGAACCCCCAACCCCTACCCATTCTTTTCACCCTGAATTTATGCAGGCTCTTGGTCATTCCATTTTGCACCAATCCTTCATACCCAGATCACATTAACAGACCCTCTGCTCTCTGAATATTGCCTTTCATAACCTCACACAGTTTCTTTATTTCTACACTTTGAATTCTTTTCATAATATTTATGCTAAACATTTCTTTGAAACATGACGTCTCCACTTTTCCAGTCTCCTCTTTACTGCAACATGTCTATGCCTCACACCCATATAAACAGGGTTGGTACCATGTTCTCCTTTTTTGCATCAGTAATAAATTTCATTTTCTCCGCCTGCATTTTTTTCTTTGTTCTATGGTTCATCTTTTTTATCACCAATCTCATTGTGTGTGCTGCTTTTCTTCAGAATTCCCCCCAAAACTGTGTCATCTCCAAAAAAAGCAACTGTGACATACCTGGATAATTATCTTTTCATCTCCCTACCTCTTCCCAACAGTCTACAATTGACTTCTTGTGCAACCCCATCTATAACTAAACAGTATTAAACAAAAATGGTGACATTATATATCCCTGTGTAAGGCTTAATTTTACTGGAAAGTAATCTTCTTTTTCTCCCATTTATCCTAACCTGAGTGTTATTCTCTGCATAAAACTTTTTATTACTTTAGTATCCTTGCAAATTGCTCTTTTGTCAATGTACAATGTAATGAATTCTGGTTTTACAGGTTTCCTACTAATGTTGCAACAAGTCACCATTGGAGTACTGCAGCTACTACTGGTCCTCCTCCACAGACTTGGCCAGCTCATCCACAGAGTCATGTACCTATTCATGCACCTCCTGATCCTCTCACAACAAATTCACGCCATTCTTGGGATGCATCACGATACCATTCCCTTGAGTACCAGCGCAATTCTCACAATAATAGTTCTTTTGATAACAAGACTGTCACTGGGAGACCCAAACTTGATGACAGACATGAAACCATTGAAAATGCTGTCACTTGCAAACCTAAGCATGAATCAGAAGAGGAGGAAGACAAATCTAATTTGGATTTGGATACGAGAATTGCTATGCTATTGCAGAATAAAGATAGTGGGATGGCTCCTCCATTCCTTGCTCTTGGATTGGGAAGTGATGAAGACGAGGAGAAAAAAGAGGGTGCAAATCAGGAGGAGAAAAAAGTGAAAGACAAGGTATCAAGTGTTCAAACAAGTTCTAGTAGTAGTGTTACGAACTCAGACTCAGATTCTTATTCAGACACAGGAAGTGAAAGTGAGGTTGGAGAGGGTTCAAAAGACTCCAGTGGGGGGGAGGGTAAATCTAAGTGGGCTATACTTGAAAATATTTTAGAACCATTATCAACTCCACCGTCTCCCTTTATTTCAAAAGAAATGTATGTATATTGGCAGGAAAAGGGAAATGAACTAAAAATGGAGGCACAGAGAAGAGAAAGAGAGGAAAATAGGGAGAGGTTAAAAAAGTTAAAGAGAAAGAAAGTGAAAAGAAAAGACAAAGAAAGTAAAGTGAATGATGATAGAAAAGATATAAAATGTGAAGTGAAAACAGAAAATATGCTAGAAGAAAATCAAGTGAATGGAATAGATGATGATAGAATGAGTTTATCTAGTTTAAGTTCAACAGAAGACCCAATTTTACATCAAGATGTTCCCATACCTCCACAGGCACCACTGTATCCACTCCAAGTGCACCTTTTACTGTTCCTCCACCTGGCTACCCCCATTTTGGGCCACCACCTGCCTACCCTCCATTTTAAACCTCCCCTGGCTATCCACCTCCACCCATACCACAGGAAACTACATATGCGTGGCAGCCGCCCCCTGGTTACCCTTCCAATTTTGTTTCTGGGTATCCGGGATATAATCCAGGGTATATGGCCCTTCCTCCAGGTTACTCGGCTATTACTCACCCACCTCCAGGGACGAGTATACCTGGCCAAACCCCCTACCCTCCATATTTTGGTCCTGGTTACCCCCAACTCAGATCATACCGGGTTCTACTCATAAAAGTGGAGAATATCAGACCCAACAATAAAGTAAGTGGGACTTTTTTTTTTTTTTTTTTTTTTTTTTTTTTTTTTTTTTTTTTTTTTTTTTTTTTTTTTTTTTTTTTTTTTTTAGGTTTTGATTCAGCTTAAAACAAATTATAGGAATTTGTGCACTGTACTGTGAATTGTATTAAGCAATTTTATATTGCTTCCACAAAAACTGTTTTGAGTGAGGTGAATGGGTGATACTGTCAACAGATTTTGCTGAGAATAAGGGCAATGTGTGGTGTAAATATTATGCAGAAAATTCGGAGTGTGGAAATTAGAGAAGGTGTGGAGTTAATAAAAGCATTAGTCAGAGGGCAGAATAGGGGTTGTTGAGGTGGTTTGGTCATTTAGAGAGAATGGATCAAAGTAGAATGACATGGAAAGCATATAAATCTATAGGGGAAGGAAGGAGGGGTAGGGGTCGCCCTCGAAAGGGTTGGAAAGAGGGGGTAAAGGAGGTTTTGTGGGAGAGGGGCTTGGACTTCCAGCAAGCGTGCATGAGCGTGTTAGATAGGAGTGAATGGAGACGAATGATACTTGGGACCTGACGATCTGTTGGAGTGTGAGCAGGGTAATATTTAGTGAAGGGATTCAGGGAAACCGGTTATTTTCATATAGTCGGACTTGAGTCCTGGAAATGGGAAGTACAATGCCTCCCACTTTAAAGGAGGGGTTTGGGATATTGGTAGTTTGGAGGGATATGTTGTGTATCTTTATACGTAAATGCTTCTAAACTGTTGTATTCTGAGCACCTCTGCAAAAACAGTGATAATGTGTGAGTGTGGTGAAAGTGTTGAATGATGATGAAAGTATTTTCTTTTTGGGGATTTTTTCTTTTTTGGGTCACCTTGCCTCGTGGGAGACGGCTGACTTTTTGAAAAAAAAAAAATTGGAGATAAATAGGTTAAAGCCTAGGAACAAATGGATTTGACATTTAAAAACAGAATAGGAGAGTTAGTAGATGGGGAGTTGGAGGTATTAGGAAGATAGAAATATTTTGATGAACTGTTAAATGTTGATGAAGAGAGGGAGGCCATAATTTCATGCATTGGCCAGGGAGGTATAACATCTTTTAGGAGTGAAGAAGAGCAGGATGTGAATGTGGGGGAGACGCATGAGGCATTACATAGAATGAAAGGGGGTAAAGCAGCTGGAATTGATGGGATCACGACAGATATGTTAAAAGCAGGGATCAGGGGGAAGTTTCGGAGTGGTTTATACTTTTGTTCAGTAAATGTTTGAAAGAGGGAAAGGTACCTACGGATTGGCAGAGAGAATGCATAATTTCTTTATATAAAGGAAAGAGGGACAAAAGATATTGTAAAAATTATAGGGAAAGAAGTTTACTGAGTATACCAGTGTATGGTAGGGTTATTATTGAAAGAATTAGGGGATAAGACAGAAAGCAGGATTGCAGAGGAACAAGGAGGTTTTAGAATATGTAGATCAAGTGTTTACATGAAGCATATAAGTGAACAATATTAAGATAAAGGTAGGGATGTTTTCATTGCATTATGGATTTTGAAAAGGCAAATGATATGGTGGATAAGGAAGCAGTGTGGCAGATGTTGCAAATGTATGGAATACAGTAGTTAGTAAGTTAATAAAATGCTGTAAAGAGTTTTTATGAGGATAGTGAGGCTCAGGTTAGGGTGTGTAGGAGAGAGGGAGATTACTTCCCAGTAAAAGTAGGCCTTAGGCAGTGATGTGTAAATGTCACCATGGTTGTTTAACATATTTATAGATGGGGTTTGTAAAAGAAGTAAATGCCAGGGTGTTGGGGAGAGGGGTGGAATTAAATTATGGAGAACAAATACAAAATAGAAGTTGACACAGTTACTTTTTGCTGATAATACTGTGTTTTTGGGAGATTCTAAAGAGAAGTTGCAAAGGTTAGTAGACGAGTTTGGGAGGGTGTGTAAAGAAAGTTGAAAGTGAACATAGATAGGGGTAAAGTGATGAGGGTATCAAACGAATTAGGTAAAGAAAAATGGAGGGAGTATGAAGAAGTGAATGTGTTCAGATATTTGGGAGTAAGATTTGTCAGCAGATGGGTTTATGAAGGACAAGGTTAACCTTAGAATTGATGAAGGTAAAAAGATGAGTGGTTGCGTTTGAGGTGTCTGTGGAGACAAAAAATCTTACCCATGGAGGGAAAGAAGGGAATGTACAAGAGTATGGTGGTACCAACACTCTTATGGGTGTGATCCATATGTTGTAAATGCTGCAGTGAGAGGAGGCTGGAGGCTGTTACCCTTAGGTATAGTATAAATCATCATTTGATGATAGGAAAAGCAGACATGATAACCACAAATTGAAACATAAAAGATTCCAAAGAATAGATACAGAAGATTTCCCAACACTTAACAGTAATATGAACAAGGAAAGCATTAGTAAATTGGTGTAGAAAAGATGCTAACAGCATACTAGGAAGTTCCTGCTCACAGTGTTATAAGTGGGATGGTATGTAAGAAGAACTAGTAAGTGCTACAGCTACTGGAAATTAAAAAAAAAAAATTGTGGAGTGTGATAAACTGATGATGGGACACCATACACAACTCGGCTATTGTAGCAACATGCTGTGTAAATAATTGCAATTGTAGTACTGAAACTTAAATAGTCCTGCACTGCTTCGGAGATGTGTATGAGACCTTCCTTGTGGTATATTTGGCAGATCAGTATGTCTTGTTTATATGGATATACTGTATGAGAAAAAAATTTTGTAGTGAAGAAGAATGGTTCTTAAAATATAATTAGGACATTGTTTTCTACCAGTGATATCAGTTTCTAAAACTTTTGTCTTAGTGTTTTGGAGATTAATGTAAATTTGAAAATAGATGAGTCATAAGGCAAGTTTTGGGTTGGGGGCATAGATAGTTGCAGTACAGCGGTAACTCGAGTTACAAACTTAATTCGTTCCAGAAGGCTGTTCGAGTGTCGAAAACCGAACAAATTTTTTTTCCATGAGGAATATGAAATGAAAATTAGATTAGTTCATTTCAGACCCCCAAAAATACACTTAAAAAAGCACTTTCAAATTTTTTTTTTTTTTCAACAAGCCCGGCCGTCTCCCACCGAGGCAGGGTGACTTAAAAAGAAAGAAAATCCCCAAAAAAAAAATACTTTCATCATCATTCAACACTTTCACCTCACTCACACATAATCACTGTTTTTGCAGAGGTGTTTTAGAACACAAACATTTAGAAGCATAAAACGTATAAATACACAACAATCCCTCCAAACTGCTAATATCCCAAACCCCTCCTTTAGAGTGCGCATTGTACTTCCCATTTCCGGACTCAAGTCCGGCTATAAAAAATAACTAGTTTCCCTGAATCCCTTCACTAAATATTACCCTGCCTCACACTCCAACAGATCGTCAGTCCCAAACACCATTCGTCTCCATTCACTCCAAATCGAACCGCTCATGCACGCCTCCCTGGAAGTCCAAGCCCCTCGCCCACAAAACCTCCCTTACTCCTTCCTTTCCCAACCTTTTCGAGGACGACCCCTACCCCGCCTTCCTTCTCCTACAGAATTTAAATTGCTCTCCATGTCATTCTACTCTGAGCCTTTTCCTCTCTAAATGACCAAACCACCTCAACAACCCCTCTTCTGCCCTCTGACTAATACTTTTATTAACTCCACACCTTCTCCTAATTTCCACACTCCGAATTTTCTGCATAATATTTAAAACCCACACATTGCCCTTAACAGGAAATCTCCACTGCCTCCAACCGCCTCCTTGCTGCTCCCTTCACAACCCAAGCTCACACCCATATAAGAGTGTTGGTACTACTATACTTCCCCATACATTCCCTTTTTTGCCTCCATAGATAACATTTTTTGTCTCCACATATCCCCAAAACGCACCACTCACCTTTTTTTCCCTCATCAATTCTATGTTTAACCTCATCCTTCATAAATCCATCCGCCGACACATCAACCCCAAGTATCTAAAAACATTCATTTCTTCCATCTTCTCCTCCTCCCCAATTTGATATCCAATTTTTCTTTGTCTAAATCATTTGATACCTCATCACCTTTCTCTTTTCTATGTTCACTTTCAACTTTCTGCCTTTACACACATCCCAAACTCATCCACTAACCTTTGCAATTTTTCTTTAGAATCTCCCATAAGCACAGTATCATCACAAAAAGTAACTGTGTCAATTCCTATTTTGTATTTGATTCCCCATAATTTAATCCCATCCCTCTCCCAAACACCCTAGCATTTACTTCTTTTACAACCCCATCTATAAATATATTAAACAACCATGGTGACATTACACATCCCTGCTAAGACCTACTTTTACCGGGGAAGTAGTCTCCCTCTCTTCTCCACACTCAAACCTGAGCCTCACTATCCTCATAAAAGCTTTTTAAACAGCATTTAGTAACTTATCACCGTTCCATATACTTGTAACATCTGCCACATTGCTCCTCTATCCACTCAAATCATATGCCTTTTCTAAATCCATAATGCAGTAAAAACTTCCCTATTTTATCTAAATACTGTTCACATATATGCTTCAATGAAAAACCCACTTGATCTACACATCCCCTACCCACTCTGAAACTCCTTGCTCATCCGCAATCCTACATTCTGTCTTAAACCTCTAATTTCTTTAATAATAACCCTACGTACACTTTTCCTGGTATTCTCAATAAACTTATTCCTCTATAATTTTTAAAAATCCTTTTGTCCCCCCTTCCCTTTATATAAGGGACTAAAACATGCTCCTGTTTGCCATTCCCTAGTACCTTCCCCTCTTTCAAAACATTTATTAAAACAAAAGTACCAACCACTTCCAACACTAATATCCTCCCCTGCTTTTAACATTTCTGTCATGATCCCATCAATTCCAGCTGCTTTACCCACCCCTTTCATTCCTTTCCCTAAATCCTCCACGTACCTCCCCCACACTTACATTCTGCCTCTTCTTCACTCCTAAAAGATGGTATACTCTCCCTTGGGCCCGTGCATGAAAATTACCGCCCTCCCTTTCTTCCCAACATTAAAAGTTCCTCAAAAAATATTCCTCCCCCATCCTACCTAATACCTCCCTCTCCCCATCTACTAACTCCCCTACTCGTTTTTAAAATGACAAATCCCTACGTTCCCTGGGCTTTCTTAACTTTTTTTAACTCACTCCAAAAATTTTTCTTATTTTCATACACTTTAAAACACTTAAATAATTGTTCGAGTTGGGAGCTGTTTTTGAAACTCGAGGTACCACATATTTTTTTTTTTTTTCAACCCAAATCGGCCGTCTCCCACCGAGGCAGGGTGATTTCCCAAAAAAGAAAGAAAATCCCCAAAATAAAATACTTTCATCATCATTCAACACTTTCACCACACTCACATTATCACTGTTTTTTGCAGAGGTGCTCAGAACACAACAGTTTAGAAGAAGCATTACGTATAAAGATACACAAAAAATATCCCTCCAAACTGCCACTGTATATATCTTTCTTAAATAATTAATGTATTTGTCTGCAGTGTCAAAAAAAAAATCTTGCCCCTGCATCCAGATTTTTTAAGAATTGAAAGGATCAAGATATTTTTGCTAGTGTGTTGGTCCCATTGTATCACAATTTTGAAGCCATTGTCAGTCCTGTAATATGATGCCACAAGCTCAGCCCACTCAGATAAGCTGTGAGCCATAAATTTGGGGCCTAGATATGAGAGAATGGGTCTATAAAGGTAAGCGTGCACCATAAAAAAAATATCCTGCAGCTCACAGTGCATAGTGAGGAAAAAACTGCGACTGTGCTTTGGTTTTTAAAAAAGTGACCCCGGGTGTATCTTCATATGGTTTTTATGGTTGTATTTTCGGTTTCTTGGTCTCATTTGATAGAATGGAAGATACATTTGATAGTGATGATTTTGGTTAGTTTTCAGGACTGAAAGTAGTTCGAAAGTGACCTCAAAGTAGTGGAAGTGTTTTTTATTTTTGTTGATATTCCAGAGTAAAACATAGGCTATCCAACTGGCCAGTCTAATACACATTAGGAATGCACTGACATTATTTATACAATTATTACAGTAATGCAGTAGTCTGCATAAAAGTAAAATTTTAAAATTTTTTTGTAATATAAATTCAAAATGAAAAGCAAGGATAATATAAGAGGTCCTGGAGATGTGACTAAGGAGCAGAGAAAATATTTAATTTAGTACCAGGAATGTCTACATGGTTTTTTTGGACCCTGTTTTCAAACTGTATTTGTTGAATTTTGTGTGCAGTTGGCCAAATTACCAATTTCTGAGCACTTTATTGGTTTTGTTGAAATAGGTAAATGGGCAGTTTCTTGTCCTCATTTAAAAAATATAAGGAAAAACTAGCAAAATAGCTGTGAGTTTGGTTGTCTGGTACAATACAATAGAATTGGCGAAATTGCTGATGTGTAAATAACGCTGAGGACCGCTAACTTTGCAAGAGCATAATTCCATAAGTTTTTCCATCAAATTTCATACTTTTGGTTTCATTACCTTCGAAAAGGATTATCATTTCATAAGCTAGAGTTTTTTTTTTTTTTTTTTTTAAAATTCTTCGACCCTGGGGGCAAGTTTGTGAGCAGATTGCAATGCTGAAAATGTTAAAACCCTTTTTTTAATTTTTTTACATTTCCCTGTATTTGGTAGTTGTGTAACATGCCTTTAGTGTGTGCAGCAATCTGTTGCATCCTTAGTACACACACAACAGTGGGAGTAAGGTAAACGTTTTTTGTGACAGATGGGTTTTGTTTTTTTAAATTTCACCTTTTGCTATTTTGGTGTTATTTTTAATTATTACTATATTTTAAAAATGCATGGGAACTACCTTTCTAAGGGGGAGAGGGCCTGCTTATTGGCCCTTGAAGGAAGAAAACATCTCCATGAAGGAAATAGCATGGCAAACAGCAATCTGAGTTGGCATTGTCCTTCTCTGGTGGCTAATATACATTCTCGCCACCATGGTTCCTGCTCCTAACTAACCCATGGCAATTCTAAGACGACCTTGACAGTGATGGGTCGGTTACTGAAAAGACTAGTTTCATCCGAAGCAAAGAAAACCCACCTAAATCTTGTTAAAGATGTGTTAGAGAGGACTAGACATCAAGGACTGCAGAAAGACCTCTACCTTCCCTCAAACAGCACAACTGTAAAACTGCTGTTATAAAAGGCTATAACTACCGAAAAGTTGGACTTGCATAGTAAATTGAAGCATTGGAGTCTAGAGCAGTAGAGTAAGGTGATGTTTAGTGATGAATCCAATTTTAGATGCATCCAAAGCATCCCAGGAAAAGTTTGTCACTCTTGTGGTAGCAACAGGTGCAACCCCAAGTACCTATAGAGAGAAGTGTTCAACACATAGGCTGTTGTATAGTATGGATTGCATTCAGTGGGGTTGTGACGGGGAGCATAGTTCTGTTCTTCCTTCCTAGAAACGAAACAGTTTATTAAAAATAGAATTAGGCATTAAAAACATTAAAAAAGTAAAATGCACATAAAGCACATTGGTCAGAGAGCTGGTTGTAAGTCTGAGTGGTCATTAAACAGGTAGGTCATTAAGTGAGGAGTACTTGTACTTTTTTTGGCATTCAAAGTTAATTTTTCTTGTAAAACAGGGTAGAGTGCAAGGCTTATTTTTGTCAACACTGTACTATACTTTTGGAATATATCATGAGACATTTATAAACTTCACATCAGTCATCCATCTTTTATAAATAAAATCAAATAAATAAATAAAGTTTATTTCTTTGTAAAGGTTACAATGTGTAATTACAATTTTGATTTGCTAAGTATAAAGATAGCCACTATCATGCCGAGGCATTCAGGCAAACAATCCTAATACATAGTAACTAATTAAAACTAGATAAGATAATAGTACATAGTAACTATACCTAAAACTAAACATGGAATAGTGGTTAGCTGTTTTACAATCTTATTTGAACTTAATAAATCTTATGTAAACCCTTAGTACAAAATTTTAACTCAAAAAATAATGGTGCAGGGGGAAAATTTTTTATGGAAGGCAAAAATTTAAAAGCCGGGAGGTAAACACCCTTAAATCCAATTGGGCAGATTTTTTTTGGCAGTTTGGGGTTAAATAGAGAAATGAAATTTTTTATGGATTGGCAAAATTTGAGAGCCTAGAGGGTCAAAATATAAAACTTTTTTACAGATGTTTGGGGTTTTAATTTATTTTAATTTTGTAAAAGATTTTTTTTTTTAAAAAGGGCCCCCTAAATTTTTTTAACTGTTAGGGGATCCTTGACCTTTTCCAAAATACGAGTTCCAGACCCTTTTGGGCCTTTTATGTGCAAAAGGTTTTTGCAAGTGAAATTCTGACTTGGGGGAAAGTTGAAAAGTGCCTTATGCCTTGTTTTTTGGGGACTGCCCAAACTGTTGTAACTGTCGAGGAGTATTTTTTTTTAGGGGAGGGTTTTTACAGTGGAGTTTTAAAGTTCTGAAAAGTAGGGGGCCCCAATAATAAGATTTTATGTTTTATTTTTTTGTAAGGTTTGAGTCTTGAAAAGTGGTGGTGTTGCTGTCTACACAAAGGAAACTGGTTTTCAACCCCCACAGCAGCTTTGTTTTTTTATTATTAAGGGTCTAAGGTGGGTTTAGCCCCAGACACAAAACCATAGGTGAGGTAAGGGTAAAATTATAGAATGGTACAGGGTAAGGAAGTCCTTTTGGGGGTACATATATCAAAATCTTGGGAAAGGGTTCCTACTAAAAATTTTAAATTTTTTTAAAGCTATGTGAGGGTATGGGACTGAAATTTTTTGATTACAGTCAAGGGGAAACCAAAAAATTTTCCCTCAATGTGTCTTGATATAGGGGAACCATTTTTAAAAGTAGTTTTATTTTAATATTTGGGCTCTGTTTTTTTAAAAAAATGAATATTGTATGAAATTTTTGTAAATTTTTACATAGTTGGGTTTTATATTTTTTTTTAAACCCTTTTTTTCAGACTTTTTTCTGTGTTGTACTGTTTATAAATTATTTTTTTTGCTTTTTTGGGTGAAAAATTTCAGTGCAATTTTGTAAAAAATGCAGAAATTTGGGTGTCTTGTAAGCCTGAAAAAAATTTGGGGAAAATAAAAAAATGGGACATTAAAAGGGGTTTTCTTATTATTTTTTACAAAAATGCAGAAAAGATGTCCCCACCCAAAAGATACATTGCTAAAGGTAAATTTTGGGATAATGTTAAATTGTGTTGATGCTCAACCACAAAATTTTCTACACTGAATAATTTTTTGCCCATAATTCAGAAGCCTTCGAGTGACCCCCCAGAAATAAAAACCTACTGGAGTGAGATCAGAGCTTCTCACCAACAGCTCCACTTAATGTTATGTCTGCATAAATACAAATAGTTTTTTATATTTAATCCCATAAGGTAAAAAATCTCTTCCGCAACAATTTATAAATAACGTTGAGCAGAAAGTGTTATTTATGAAGTAGTTTTACTTATTAGTCAGTGAACTAATACTTGTAATTTTAGGCACAAAGTTCAGTATTGTTACTTACATATTATTTCCTTTCAGTGCAGTGCTTGACACTGTTATTGAAGAACTGAAGAATATTCTTAAAAGGGATTTTAACAAGAGAATGATTGAAGCAACAGCGTTCAAAACATTTGAAGCGTGGTGGGATGAACAGGAAAGAAAGTTTAAGGTATGTTTTACAACTTTGTGTAAAATAAGTAGTTTAAGAAAAAAATTTGTGGCTTCCTGTAGGATACGTTATGTAGAAGTCTTTACAAATCAATTATATTTTCATTATTTAACCTTTTCAGGGTCAATGCCGTACTAGTACAGCTTGCACACCAGGGTTGGTGCCGTACTAGTACAGTGGACCCCCAGTTATGGTAATTAATCCGTTCCAAAGAGAGTGATTAAACCCGAATCTGATGATTTCTGAATTCATTTTTCCCTTAAGAAATAATGTAAATCCAATTAATCCATTTCAGACACCCAGAAGTATTAAAACAAATTACTTACATGAAATATACATTTACCTACACAGAAAACAATGAGACATGCAGAATAAAACAATAAAATGACACCTTTATTGAAGACTTGTTGATGAGTGATAAGATGGGAGGAGGGGAGAGGATGGAGGTGTACTATTGTTTGGAAGGGGAATCCTCTTCCATAAAGACTTCAGGTACCAAGTCCTTTTCCTGGGTTACTTCCCTTTTTCGTTTTTTAATGCCACTAGGACCAGCTTGAGAGTCACTGAACCCCTGTCGCTCAAAAAAGTGCCTCAGAGAGGTCTCTTTCTGGCATATGTTAGGAATCGTGGTGGTGGCAGGGGAGTGTGTCGGGAGACAGGACAAGATAGTCCTTCAATATGACATTGATATCAACTCTCCGGCTTATTTATCCAGCACAATTCATCTAATATGACATAATAAACAATATTAATAACATAATAACACGATAATTAACTCTAGAATGAATAAAATATATCATTAGTATGTGACGAGTGTTGCTGTGTTGTTGTTGGGTGTAAAAGGGCCACTGAAAGATAAGTCTTACATAGTGGTAGTGATGGTGGCATCGGTGTTGTCAGTGTCACACTATATACTTCCAACAACATTGGAGGAGTCAGTTTCGTGCTGTCCTTTTTCTTTTGATTAATCGCTTAACTTACTTGCTGTACTGTTAATGCTACACTTTATCGCTGGCTGGCGCTATGGCCTTTATCAACTCCTGCTGCTTTGGTATCGTACATATCGCAGAATCACTGAAGAAGGCACATTCTCCCCTCTCTCTCAGCCCTTTAAGAAAGGGTTAGCTGGCACTAGGAACTTCCTTTGGGCCCATGGTGGCTTATTTAGCAGTTGCAAGCACTAAAAAGAATGGAATAATACTAAATGTATCGTATGAATGAGTGGGATCCTGCTCACTGGCTGATAAACAATGGCACACCGAGTGTCGGGCTGCTGTTGCCATGTGGACGCGTTCAGGACAAATGACTATTACTGAGCTCAATGACGATCCTTGAGCCAATATTTTGACCAGAAAATGTTACTATTTCCAAATATTACAAAATCCGATGACTACAAAATCCGTGGGTCCACTGTGCTCGTAAATTCTAGCGCCTTCAAACCTAGCGAGAGAAAGCTGGTAGGCCTACATATGAAAGAATGGGTCTGTGTGGTCAGTGTGCGCAGCATAAAAAAAAACTTGAAGCACGCAGTGCATAATGAGATAAAAAAAAAAACTCTGACCACGTTTTTGGTTTAAAACAGCGATTTTGCAGTGTATTTTCATATGGTATTTACGGTTGTAGTCTCATTTTCTTGGTCTCAGTTGATAGAATGGAAGACATATTACAGAAATAGAGATGACTTTGATTGGTTTCACAATGAAAAGTACCTTGAAATTGAGCTTAAAGTAGTTGAAATGTTCGATTTTTACCAGTGTTCAAGAGTAAACAAATCACGCCACGCGTCCAGTACACGTACGTCAACTGGCGAGTCTGATAATCTTTCACAGGTGCACTGATATTATTTGTACCATTTTTACAATAATGCAGTAGTCTGCATAAGAGTAAATCTATTTTTTGTGAGAAAAAAATTCAAAATAGAAAGCAAAAGAAATGTAAGAGGGGCCTAGAGACGTGACTAATGAACAGAAAAAATGTTATTTTAGTGCCAGGAATGTCTGTCTTGATTATTCTGGACCCTATTTTGAAATTGGCATCTTTTGAAATTTGTGTGAAATTGGCCAAATTGCCAATTTCCGACCACTTATTGGATAGTTGAAGTCGCTAAATGGGTGGTTTCTTGTATTCATTCGATAGAACAAATGGAGCTCTAGTGAAATAGCTATGATTTTTGTCTACTGGTACATAGGAATTGGCTCAAAGTGGGCGAAATCGCCAATGCGTAAACGTCGTCAAGACTGCTAACTTCACAAGAGCATAATTCCATAAATTTTCCATCAAATTTCACACTTTTGGTGTCATTATGATCGGGAAAGATTCTCTATCATTTCATAAGAAACTTTTTTTTGGGGGGGGGGGCCTCTCAACCCTCAAAGGGTATAGATTTTATTCATTAAATTTTCCTTTTGTCAGGGTTCGCCAACCTAATTTCAGTATATTTTCTGATATATTTTTTTACACTTTATATATAAATGCAATGTTTTTATAAAACCTTTTTACACTTCTTGATACATACAGTTTGCTTCAGTTTTTTTTCCTTTATATAACTGCACAAAATATTGTGTGTTGTGACACTTAACCCTTACGTTCACGTGTGTAGCGCTCCAACCTTGATTTTCCCCATTTGAAAGCATGTAAAAAAAAATCGTAGATTTACGTTTGGAGCCCCCCACACATAGATCTACGTTTGGACAGTTTAAGGGTTAATAATGGAGCATCACTAACTACACTTAAACTTGCAACACTGATATTCTGTGCAGAAACAAGTGTTTGTAAAATTGATCACAATTATTCCAAATACATTAGTGGATTTGTCTTTTGTAGCAGTCAAAGTTTCAGTGTAAGAGCAGATTGAAATAACATAAACTGAACAAGAAAGTGTGTATTTCTGATCTGTGCAGGTATCATGTCTTACAATAAGAGCTGATTTACTGTTTGATTTATAAAGTATTACTCAAGAGTTATTAACCTTTCATTCTGCATTGGTAAGCATTTCCTAAAAATCAAATGGCAATTTTTCTTACAGGGTTGTAGAGCAGTAATAACCGAATATTGTGTAACTACAAAGAGATAACTGAAGCTAATGAAAACTTAAATTTTTATGGTGTATTAAATGTTGACAACTTGTAGCCTGTAGTGTCTGGTGACAAAAATTGTTCAGAGTGTTGAAATATTTATGCTGTAGACCCCTGGAAATACACCTACCATCCGACTTACGACCGAGTTCGGTTCCAAGAAACCGGTCGTAAGTCGAAATGGACGTAAGTCGAACTTTACTACTGAATATCAACATCACATTTTTGTAATGCCTTTATTTTATTGTTTTATTTTGGTATTTCATGTTTTACTTTACTTTTTATGCAGTTAGTACTGTATTTTATACTGTAAGGTTTAGGATAAACACTGTGTACAACACAAATAGTTGTTTATTTCCCAGAAATTTGGCAAAAAAAACACGGGTCGTAAGTCGAGTGGTCGTAAGTCAAGCAGGTCGTAAGTCGAAAAGGTAGGTGTATTCTTCAGGTGTTTATCCTTCAGGTATCCATCTTTCAGGTATCCATCTTTTAGGTATCCTGGGTTTTAAAATCTGAAAATTGAGTCTTTATTAAAATTAATTTTATTCAAGGTTAAGAATATATGGGGAAAATAGAGAAAAATAAGTATTAAAGCACTAGCTAAAAATAACAGACCAGTAGCCCTAACTTCCCACATTAATAAAATCGTCGATAGAGTGATGAGATGTCAGATTACAAACTTCATGGAACGGTACAATCTTCATAGCCCAGACCAACACAGTTTTAGAACTGGATGATTATGCCTATCCCAACTGCTGAACTACTATGACAGAATTATGGAGGCATTGGAAGAAAACCAAAATGCAGATGTGAAAAATCACCTATTTTGGTAAGGCATTAAACATATGCAATCATGGGGTGATTGCACACAAAATGAGGGCCATAGGCATTATAGGGAAGGTAGGCAGATGCATTTTTAGGTTCCTAACACACAAACCAGCATCAGCAAGGTAAAAAGCTCAGTTCATCAAGGCACTGTCCTGGCACTTATACTTTTTCTCCTCATAGCAGTCATAGATCAAACTATCCATCCATCCCAGTTTTGTATCATCATTTGCAGATGACACCAAAATAAGCATGAAAGCAGTTGAAGGAAGATATAAGCAGTGTTTTCCATTGAGCAGTGGAGAATATGATGATGATCAATGAGATAATTTCCATCTGCTTAGGTATGAAAAGAATGAAGTCAAAAGGGACACTATACAAAACTCGAGAGGATTGTCAGATAGAACAATAGGAACATGTGGAAGACTTGAGAATAATTATGTCAGCTGACCCTTCTTTCAAAGAACACAATAAGATTAAGGTCACGACAACCAATAGGATGACGGGATGGATATTGAGAACCTTCACAACAAGGGAAATAATGCCAGTGGTAACATTTTTCAAATCATTTGTGCTCTCTCATTTGGAATATTGCTCAGTATTAATGGGCCACATTCAGAGCAGGTGAAATATCAGAGCTGGAACAGAAACAGAGATCATTTACAGCAAGTGTAGAGCCAATAAAGCATTTAAATTAGTAGGAGTGCTTTAACCCTTTCAGGGTTGACAGACCCTCTCCCAAACTTGTTCTCAGGGTCAGAAAATATTTGAAAAAAAAAAATTTATGAAGATTTTTTTTTTTTTTTTAATTTTATAGGCTAAAAAAAAATTTTTTTTTGCCATCAATACTTACCGGGATATGGAAGCATGAAGTTGACAGAAATTGAACCGCATATGGCAACATCGGCGACTGCCGGTCACTGGGTAATCGTTTATTTTGCTTTTTCTACCTTTATTATTTTTTAATATTTTCACAAACACTGTTGTCATTACAGTGGACCCCCGGTTTGTGATATTAATCCATTCCTGAGAGCTCATCGTAAACCAAAATTATCAGAAAGCGAATCAGTTTTCCCCATAAGAAATGATGGAAATCAAATT